CTCAAAATCACACATTGTGAACTAAACTAAAGTGGATGAACAATACTTGCCTCTCTCTAGTGAACTGGTAGACCATGATCTCAGTAACCTCTCAGACGGCCAACAGCTTCAGGTGAGATCTATCTGTAATTCAGATGTTTTCCACGAGAATCCTGGGAGAACAAATCTTGTTGAACATGACATTATTGTTGGAGAAAGTGCTCCTGTGAGAAGATTAAGTTACAGGATCCCTGAGGGCCTGTCGGCCTCACTGAGGAGGGCGGTTGACCTGATGCTGTCCCTGCGGATCATCGAGTGGTGTAAACCAGTGATGCTCGTACCAAAGAAGGATGGAAGCATAAAGTTCTGCATTGATTTCACGTACCTGAATTGGCTATCCTGCTTCTATCACCGCTTCATACCCAATTTCTCCAGCTCTACTCACAGACTTGACTAGATCCCGGAGTCCCAATCTGATCCAGTGGACAGAGGAGGCAGTGGCAGCTTTCAGTGATATCCAGCAATCACAAAGTAAGCAACCTGTTCTGTACAGCCCAAACTTTGACAAACATTTCCTTCTGCAAACTAATTCTTCTGACAGGGGTTTGGGAGCTGTGCTGCTCCAGGGACCTCAGGATGATCGGTGTCCAGTCGCCTACATCAGCTGGAAACTGTTCCCCAGAGAGGTTTGATATTCGGCGGTGGAGAAGGAGGCACTAGCTATCAAGTAGGCTCTTGATTCCTTTTCGATACTACCTCCTTGGTCCAGAGTTCAGCTTGGAGAGAGATCACAAGGCCAGTTTGGTTTGAAAACTTGGTTTTCTATTTTTGGGTAAAATAAAAACTGACCTTTTCTTTAAACTTACTCCTGTGTCTCATGCCTCGCTGCTCACTCCCTAACAGTCCCCCCACAAGAGAATCCTTCTCACCAGGGTAAGAGTGTTTATAAGGCACACTACAAGTGAAGGCCTGTGTCTGGCCATGAAATGTTTATCTGATTTCATCTATGGCTTTGATGATGTCACCAGTTGCAATAAATCCATGGATTTCATTACATACATTAAAATGTGGGTTCTTCTTTTTCAGGCTTTGGTAGAGAAACCATCCAGTGGTGACGAGAAAACATACCATCTCCTGACACAGAAATACGAAGGTTCTGAAGGTAAACTTTTGATATGATTCTGAGAAAACTCTGTACCAATAAAAAAAAAGCAGCCATGCAATGTAACACGGGGGAATTAAGAATCTCATCTGTCTGTGTTTCAGGATTGTTCTCTGAATCGTTGCTCTGCATGGTTTCGTCGGTGTGTTATGTTTTTATCAACAGGGATATACAATGTGTTTCGAATCATAAAAGACAGGTTTTTCCATATTTTAATCCTTGCGTTGGAAAAGGTCGAAACAGGTATCAAAGAGATTTTTGACTTTTATCGCAGCCTCATTGTTGACCAAATAAAACATTAATTCCTCTTTTTTTCATCGCAGCCATAGAAAAAAATGGATGTAGGATCTTTGAAAGAGGTTAGTTGAGACCCTCTTCTGTAAGTGCTATTTTTTTCATTTCTGATAAATTAGCAGAATTTGAATCCCACCTCTCCACACACTCGGCTCCAGTCTAAAATAAAGCCTGTAGTTATGATACATTGGGTAAAAGTGAGTTATTACGGCACGTATTGCTTCTTCATTAACTAGTCATGTTTAGAAGTTGAATATGTTAATGTTTGGGTGACAGTAGCTCAGTCTGTAGGGACTTTGGTTGGGAAGTGGAGGGTCGCCAGCTCTAAAACCGGTGTGGACCTAGTCTGGAAATCGGTCTGGTAGCTAGAGAGTTGCTGTTTCACTTCCTGAGTCTTGACGAGGTGCGTTTGAGCAAGGCACCAAAACCCCAACTGCTCGGGCACTCTTTCATGTGCAGGCCCTCACTCTAACATCTCTTCATTAGTGCATGTTGTGTGTGTATTTCAGTCTATGTGCGTAGCATGTCTCAATAATGGAGTGAAAAAATAATTTCTACCCGTGGGATTAATAAAGGATATCTTCTTCTTTTTACAACGTTTGCCTCTGATAAACATATTATATACCGTATATATATATATTCCTCAAATCAACACATGTAAGTCATATTAATATGTATGCCAACTATGAGTAAAACCAAGTTTTTATAAAGGAAGAATGTGCAACATTTTACACATAAATACATCAGAAATCAAGTATATCCTGTGTAAATGTCTCTCTGAGTCATGACTGTCTACAATGAGTGAGAAGCCTCAGCTGTACTGTTGTCAGAGCCGTGTTTGCATAGACGTGACGGCCTTGCATTTAAAGTAGTTTTAGTCAAGGACTAGAGAAAAGAAGAATAACATACTCACTGCTTATTTGGAGTGTGTTTAGATCACGATCATTCTGTGTCAATTTATGTTCAATGTAAATGGATCTTGCATGCATTAAATGTGAAGATTTCTGCACATTTAAGTAACAGATTTTAGTTCTTCTGATTTCGCACACCAAGACACCATAGTGCCAGCATGCTCTTCCTCAGTTGACTCGAAACATCACTTAATGAATCCTTCAAACCTGAGCTCCTTGTTGTGCAGATCTTGTTTTTACTTTCCTTGCCTGCTCAATAACTACTCAAGAATGTGATAAAAGTTTTAACATACTAAGTGGTCTTTGTTTTTCTTTTGTTTTTTTGTTCTCAACAATAATCAAAGAGAGTATAATCTGAATAGTCACATTTCTATGTTTTTTCCATTTTGTAATTTTTTTATTATTATTATTTTGACTTAGTTGACTTCTCTTTGATTCCCAGAATTAGCAGACTTCTTCACAAACACATGTTTGTAGAGTCTGAAAAGTTTGCCACCACATTTGAGCTGGATTTAGAGGTAAGTGACACCTGTGCACCTGTCTATCTGTCTAGCCCACCGGTCTCCGGGAGCCAGAGGACAGCAAGGCGAGTTCGGGTCATCTCGCGCGAGAGACGGGTGTGTGGGAATCATTGTGAATTGGTAGTGAATTTATGGAAGAATTGTCATTTTAATTGTTGCTTTTCTGCCTAGGATGGGTAGTGGGAGATTCATGCACCTGCACTCACACACACAGGGGAGTATGTATTTTAATAAAATGGGAGCTGGTGTACTTTCTACAGCCACAGTGCGCAGTTTAGGAGTGGATACAGCGCAGTGACTGTACGGGATTCAAATCGGCGAAGAGAAAGTATAATCATAGTGAGGTGAAACGCTGAGTGAATAAAACTGATTCCAAAACGAGGGTGAACCTTGTGTTGGCTGTTACCCACGGACGAAGAGTTAGCCTGTTCTCTGGTGGACAAACAGGTGCCAAACATCATCAGTTAGCTTGTGCTAGCGTGTTTTCTGCCTAGGATGGGTAGTGGGAGATTCATGCACCTGCACTCACACACACAGGGGAGTATGTATTTTAATAAAATGGGAGCTGGTGTACTTTCTACAGCCACAGTGCGCAGTTTAGGAGTGGATACAGCTCAGTGACTGTACGGGATTCAAATCGGCGAAGAGAAAGTATAATCATAGTGAGGTGAAACGCTGAGTGAATAAAACTGATTCCAAAACGAGGGTGAACCTTGTGTTGGCTGTTACCCACGGACGAAGAGTTAGCCTGCCAAACATCATCAGTTAGCTTGTGCTAGCGTGTGGAAGCTTGTACAAGCAGTAAACGTACACATTACATTCTGCAGTGGATGTGAGCTTCTGCGGGCTATAAGCCCAGGAGGAGGAGCCCGTATTATATTGTGGCTTTAGTGATTTCATAGATTTCAACATTTTGAAATCCCAATCAATTGAACTTATTTGAAATGAATTCATCATGTGAAATGTGTTCAATATACAATTCACATTTACTTTTACAAGAATAAAAATAAGGATCAACAATTTATTTCCAATGCTGTGTATTTCAGTGTGTGTGGCCTATTTCAAACCTGCTTTGTGTGTTTTCTTCATTAGACAAGATTGTGTGTGACCTCATCAACCTGCGCAGGATTAAGCAACTAATCTTTGGAATGATTCTGCAGGTCTATTCATAGCAGAGGTATAGTGTCTTTTTTTTCTCTATCTCACACACACACACACACACACACACACACACACACACACACACACACACACACACACACACACACACACACACACACACACGTAAACGTTTAAAGAGGTCGTGTAGTTTGAAGCCTTGACAGGAGCTAGTAGCCTGGCAGTGATGATGATTTGATTGACATGTTTATTACCATGCAGTGGGCGGGGCTAATGTATTCTCCACTCTGAGTTCTTGGTCCACACCCTGAAATAGTACTCCTCAGGCAACAGAGAAAGAATGACACGCACACATGCACGTACGCACGCACGCACGCATGCACGCACGCACGCACGCACACACACACACACACACACACACACACAGAGCAGTGCAGTGCAGTGATGCTTGCGTCATGTAGAGGCCTGTCCTTGTGGCTGTGTGTATACCTGTGTGTGTGTTTGTTTGTGTGTGTGTGTGTGTGTGTGTCTGTGTGTGTGTGTGTGTGTGTTGTTTGCCTGCAGATCACAGAGCTGGAAACATGACAAAATTCCCCCTCGCTGCATCTGAGCGGTGACAGGAATGTCAGGAAGTGGCCATCATGTTCTAATGCTCTGATGTTACGGTATTTAGCCCCTGGAGTCACATTTCGTTCTGACAGAGCTTCATAGATCTGCCCTGAATGTGTGCCACTCATCAGTTTTTTTTAACCTGCACAGTCAGTGAGAATGATCAGTACGCCTGCCCTTGACAGTTGATGTAACCTGAACCACACTGTTGGGGAGAATGTGGTGTAAACAGTACGGTTATATCATAAACACATAAGAAACAGGTTATCTGAGGACTCTGAGAAGTCCACATTAAGTCCAAAAGGTATCAGTTTCAGTTCATCTTATCTATGCAAGACTTAAAGGTCATGCTTGGACCAAGCAGCAACCTCTGGTACACCAATGCAGAAATGTTTTTTTTTTTATCATTTATTTATATATTTGTGGCCTCCCTTGCATTGGAGCATTGGCTTTTCACATCAGAAAAGACAGGCCGACAAAAAAAAAGAAAATAAATCTAAATGGCCACAAACCAATTGTTGATGTCAAGGTGTGACCCGTATGGAACTGCTAAACTTAAGTTTCTCTACTTTGTGATCCACAGCAGCTGGTGCAACTGTATGCACTGTATGCACATCTTGTTTTTTTTTTTTTTGCAAAGCTGCCACCACAGACAGCACAACTGAGCCTTGTACATGGTGTCCTGTGTTCAGACAGAGTGATAGCGGATTCTCCTCTGGTTTGCCAAACCAGCTCCGTTAATTCCCGCTCAACACCTCCTCGTCCTCTAATCCCCCCCACTACGTTGATCATAGGAGATCCCATAATCAGGGGCATCCGCTTTTTTAATGTGATTACTCATTGTTTCCCTGGTGCCACTGTCCCTGTTATTTTGGACAAACTACTGCATTTTGCACCGTCACAAACATTGTGTTGCATGTAGGGACAAATGACACATCACGTCGGGAATCTGAATGCACCAAAACAGATTTTAATGTCCTTTTTCAAGTTTTAAAGGTTGCAGGAAAGATTGTTTTTATTTCTGGTCCAGTCCCTACCCTTGGCTATGGAGCTGAGCGATTCAGTCGCATTCTTAGTCTTCACACCTGTCTAAAATGTGCATGCACTTCTCATGACCTGTTTTTTGTGTACAATTTCAACCTGTTCTGGGATCGTGCTTCTTTTATTTTAACAGGACGGAATTCATCCCAACAAGCAGGTTAGCCGTATGCTGTCGGCAAACATTCAGCATGTAGTCCACTCTTCACAATGTCCCTTGTCAGGGAGTCTCCATATATCTCCCGCCTACCTTGTCACTACATCCACTGGAATTGTCCCCCCTATCAGAATCACCTACAACAGACCAAAAATGCCTGTTTCACGGCACAATGGCAGGACAATAAACTCAGAGAATTAAAATAATTTCCCATTAAGCACGATACCAGTTACCACCTCCTCCAGCACACCTGTAGAAATCAGCCTTTTAAATGTAAGGTCCTTAACAAACAAATTGGTTTTATGTAATAATTTCGTCAAATAAAATTGACATTTTGTATGACTATGACTGAGACATAGACCAGAGGAATATAGTGCCCTAAATGAGGCAACCCCTCCAGCTTTCACCTATTCTCAGAAACCTCGACTGTGTGGCAGAGGCGGGGGTTTCGCTGTCATATACAGAGAAAGATTTTTCATCAAGTCAATATCTTGTGGGGATTTCTCCTCATTTGAAAGCCTTATAAGCTGCGTCAACCAGCATCAGCCTATTTTATTTCTTTTAGTCTACAGTCCACCAAAATGACCGAATCTGTATTATTTGTGATTTTAATATTCATGTATGCTGTCGTAGTGATGCACTTGCTGGAGATTTCCTTAACCTTTTGGAGTCTTTTACTTATTTGCATCCTACTGGGGCTATACATGTTATAGGCCACACTCTCGATCTGGTAATATCATATGACCTAAAGATCGATAGTGTAGATCTTATTAATTTCTGTTTATCAGATCATTATTGTGTCAGCTTTAACCTAGGAACTCGGAATTTCTGACTTCCGAGGTAAATAAACGCGGAATAACCTTGGAAGTTCCGAGGTCGGAACTCAGAATTTCCGACTTCCTAGTTCCGAGATACCTGGGAAGTCGGAACTCAGAATTCAAGTTCTCTCTGTGGAGGTGTTTTCATGTTGTTGAATTTTTTTGGGGAAAAAACACGGCATAACCTCGGAATTTCCGACTTCCGAATTTCAAGTTCCGAGATACCCGGGAAGTCGGAACTCAGAATTTCCGACTTTCTTGGAAGTCTTCCGTGTTCCGGGGTCAGAACTCGGACAGAACTCTGAATTTCCGACATTCAAGGTCCAAGATACCTGGGAAGTTGGAACTCTGAATTTTCGACTTCTGACTTCCGAGTTCCGAGGTCGAAAGCCGGAACTCAGAATTTCTGACTTCCGTGTTCATTCATGTGCTTCCGAGCAGCACAGGAATGCAGCATTAGCTAACAAATCAAAGGTACTCCATGTTGAAATTCCGAATTCTGACTTCCGATCTCGGAAGTCGGAAATCGGAAGTCGGAAGTCAGAACTTCTGAGTTCTGACTTCCCAGATATCTTGGAAATTCCGAGTTCCGAATTCCGACTTCTGACCTCGGAACTCAGAAGTCGGAAATTCCGAGTTCCGACTGCCGACTTGATGAACCAATACGCAGTCTGAGATCCTCTGGCAGAGGAAGTCCAGGCTAAAAACTAAAGGGGACAGGGCCTTTGCTGTTAGAGCCCCCAGACTTTGGAACAGCCTGCCAGAGGAGATCAGACTTCAGTCCCTTGTTTTACATCTCTACTCAAGACATTCTGCAAAAATGCTTTTACTCTGTGATTTTGGTAATTGTTCTTATTTTTATTTTATTACTCTGATTTTGTTGTCTGCTTGTTTACTCTCTGCCTGTTGCTTTAATTGTCTCTCTGCTTTTATTTTCTGTTGTAAAGCACTTTGTTACTTGTATAGAAAAGTGCTATACCAATAAAGTATTATTATTATTATTATTATTATTATTATTATTATTATAATAATTCATAATAGCAGTATTCATCAGCAGTAGGCAGTGTTTTACAATCAAGAATTCAAAATTGACCTTGACTATTGCCAGCCAATTGAAAACCAAAAAGGAACTGTTGAAACTGAGGCAAGTTAACCAGTGTTCAGCTGTAACATGCATTAGCAACCAGGAAGAGCAGAGGACTTACATCCGATGGATAACTGTTCATGTCCTGTCTGAATTTCCTGATTAGTTACATAAAACCATTATTTTCCAAAACCTCCCCAAGTAGTTACAGTTCCAACACCAACAGAATTTGTACTGTTCTAACAAGTTTAACAGGTATTCCAAATAGAAAGGAGCAGACATCAGAAGTTAACGAACATATTGCACATCTTTTAAACATGCTAAGTTATGTGACAAAGCGTCAGTATTTGAAGACCTGGGGACACCATGTCATCTTCCTGAGACTATATGCATCCCTCCTGCTGAGGTGTCCTTAAGCAACACACTAAACCCATTTCAACTCCTGGTTGTTTTGAATCCGATCTTGATATCTGACTTCACATCAAGCTCGCCAACCTCATGACCTGTCTAAATAACATACGCCTAAATTCCGTCATTTCATCAGTAAATGTTGCAAAATGTAAAGTCCCTGTTCCCTCCCCTCACCCAGCCTCTCTCCCAGCTCTGTTTAGTAAATCATTTCCCCGTTGCCTCTCCACTGAGGGAGAGAACTGTCATGACCCGACACCTCCTGCTCCCCTGGACCAAGCTCGGGCACCTGGGAGCTCAGCTGTCGCAGGATGTGGGAAACCGCAGGACTCCCTCAGGAACCCCCAGACACACACAGTCAGCAGGTGTGTAGACGTCAGGAGGGCTGTGGTGTTGATAGTAGTCAGAGTGTTTGTGCTGCTGCTCCTCAGATCAAGCAGGGAATTTAATCTCTCCCCACATGGAGTCTCACTGGTTGACGTGTTTCGGTTACAAATTGTTGTGGTACAGGATGCATTGCTTCTGTAACAAGAAGGCACCTTTTTTTCAGTTTTTCTGTCAATTATTTTTTTAACATGGAGGAATCATTGAGGCAATTAAAATGGGGGGAAGAAAATGAACCCAACAAATTTTTTATCAGAAACTGGAAGCAACAAAGTTTAATGTTTGAAATGATTAACTTATAATCAAATATAAATTATTTGTCTCCAACTGACTTAAAACTGTTATGTAACTTTAAATACAATATGATTTATATGTATTAAGTTAACGTTGTTTTTTTCAAAATTGGAAGAAAAAAAACATTCTAATTAAGTTGCTTCATAAGAGATAATTAAATAATAAACAAAGATACTACAAAAAATAAAGTTTAATTTCATATGTTTGCACTGTTTTTTAATCGTGTTGGATAAAACTAAAGCTTTGTTTGGGTGATTTCAGAGTTTGCTTTTGAAGGGAAATGTTGTTTGTATTGAATCCAGCGTCTTTACAAAGATGAGACAAGTTTCCATTCTATCTCTTTTATTCCAGAATAAAAAGAAACTTAAATCCCTGAGTCACCATTTCTGTCAAGGAGGATCTAAATGGAAAATCCACGTTAGCCTCAGAGTAAATCTCAAATAAGCTCCAAACCGTATTTTCTCACATATGAAACTGTTATTCAGCAAGCAGCTTCAAGATCTTCTAAGTATTGCGTAAGAACACAAAAGAATAAAAACCATGTGATGATGTGGCTTGATCCAGGACTAAATCGTTTGTTGGCAAGACACCACTTTTTGATTTGTTTGTTTATGAATTATGTTTAAATATTAGGATACTGCTTATTGAACCAGAGGCTGCATTTCACAACAAAGATAAAGGGAAGAGATTTTAAATGATGTAATCTACTCAGTGAATAGTTAGGATTTATGCATGCTAATACATATTTTTCTGATTTTTGACTCTTTGCAAAGTTGACACCTTATAAGACTGATCCAACCCAACAAGTCCTTCACAGGTTTGTGCTTTATACAGATGGATATTTAAAACAAGTCTAGAGTTGGATAATAATTACTTTTGGTTGGTAGGCAGAGCCAGTTGAAGCTGAAGACTTCAGAAAAAAATTATGGAATGAGAAAGAAGTGATCTTAGAGTCCTTGTCAACCTGCATGTTCTCATAAGCTGCTACTACCAAAACACACCCTAATTTCCTAAAAATGGGCTCTGCTAAGTTTAGCCAGTCTGTCTGTCTGAATGATATTTAAGAATCTGGAAACTAACTCGTGCTGTGTAAAGAATCTGTTGGCCAGGTCTAGTATTTACTATGAAAAGTACATTTGTAGCCCAATGAACAAGCACATATCAGCAGACTTTGGTGTATGCAAGAACTTCAGTCTGTAAGGAGAGTAAAAGCAGGAGGAACTAAATCACATCAATGACAAATCTAAATAGATACCTGTATGCAAGTGCAGCCAACACTCTGTTCTAAATCAAACATTTCAAATTGAGCAACTAATCTGCTTGGCGCTGTGTCCTGAAGGCCGATCTGCATTAAGATTTCCCAACTTCCTGAACTGCATCAGAAATGATCGATCGACCCTCATTCAAAACACAAGCGTTTCGTTTTCTGCTGCTCATCTGGAGTAAATCTCAAAAATATTAGTTTATTTTACTGGCTCTTACAGCTGAAGTGAGCCAGAGTTACGCCTCTGTGTAACTTACTATTTACAGTTAAACTGAGACTCACTAGAAACAGACACACAGTAAACTACTCCATTTGGTGTAAGGAACAAATAAATTGAGTATTTTTTAGCAGACTTATCTAGGGAGGGGGGGATAGAGCTTTGTTCTGTTCTGAACACGCGGTTGCTTCTCAAGGTGCTGAATGGACTGTCAAAATTTGCAGCCCTCATTTTGTAGCGCTGATTTTACTGCGGAGTATGCTGATCTCCTTTTGGACACCTCTACGTTGTAGGCGGGAAAGATGTGTATCTTGGAGCCACGGAAGGATAGGGACCCATCCTCTCTCACCAGCTTCTGTGGCTACTCTGTGGGCTCTGTCCACAGTCCAGGGGGGTAGGAAAAGCGTCTGCTCCAAAAAGTTCTGTAAGGAATATTTCCATGAACGAGGATGGATGCTGACCCTCAACTTCCTCAGGTAAGCCTGTTATATGGATGTTGTTGCGCCTCGATTTATTTTCCAGGTCATCCGTCTTAAATTTGAGGGTCTCGTTTTCTTTGGACAGGGCTAAGCAGGTGGACTCCAGTTGTTAATCTGGCCTCCATGTCGTTAAGTGATGTTTCCATTTCTTGAATTGTCTGGTCATGTCGGTCAATGGCTGCTCGGTCAGCGGAGAGTCTCAGTGTTGCTTTTCAATGATGCGGTCTTCCATGGACTTGAGAAGTTTCTCCATGTCTGCAAGTGTCAGTGGCGCGTTGCTAGCAGCGTGTTCAGTGTTTTGGCGAGCTAGCGTTCCCTCGTGTTGGTGATCTTCGTTAGACTGCTCCTCTGAATGTTGGTTTTGCTTTCTTGTAGGTTTTCCCATGTTGCCAAATGTTTGTGCACGCTTGCACAGTAAACTGAAAAGTAGGTGTGGTATAATTTAAAGCAGAATCTTAACAGAGCTCTCCCGGTCTGCAGCCTACTTCGTCGTCGCTCAAACCGGAAGTCACATTTGATCCTTTTCAACAAAAATACCAAATTGCTGAAGTACTCGTAAAAAAACAATCTTAACCCATCCTTCAATTTTGGACTTTAGCCCACACAGAGTTTTGTTTTAGTTGCACATCATTGCACTAGCGTTTTCCCCATAATGCTAAAAAGTTTTTTCTTGCTTATTTACCTCATACCTCCATCATTTTCTTCTCCAAACAGGTTGCGCCTCTGGTCAAACCAAACTAATGCTTCTCCATGCTCTGTCTGTTTGCTGTCTTGTTGCTATGAATGAAACCAGAAGCATTATGTCGACCAGAAATAAAAGGTCAGGGAGGGGTCACTGCTGTCATTTGAAACATGGATGGGAAACTATTATTGGAGCTATTGTGGAGCAGCTATAACTCATGTGAAAGGAAGTTGTCCTCTTGTGTACGTGTGTGTGTGTGAGTGTCTTCATGTTCTAATGACTGTACGTTTACACAAATCTATCTATAGACTGCATGTTGGGTTTGATTGATGGTGCTGCAGTGGCACTTTAAAATTCCTTGGTGTTTCAGTTGAAATGCATAAAATGATGAGCTGAGGCAACAAATGATGATTTATTACTTATACGTTGTCATGCTACTTTACTTAATTGTTTTATATTTTTGAGGCTTTGGTATTCTTTTTCTCTGCATGTAGAAGCTACAATGTTTCTATGTGAGTGTATACACGTACATGTGTGCATGGAAGTGCGCGTCCCTGTGACCTTGCAGGGAGTAAACAGTGTTTCAGAGGGATGGACTCAGGCTGTTGCTCTCTCCCCCTGTGGCGTCTCCATCAATATGACGGTCTGTTATTGGGAGAGACGACGCGGCTCCTCCATCACACGCCAACGCTGTAAATAAAGAGATTTGGAAATGGACATTGCAGAAAATGCTTTTCTCCATAATATTTGGGGACAGTAAACTTCCCATAAAAAATACAGGGGGAATTTGAGTTTCTCACATAAACACACACACACACACACGCACGCTCACACATATGATGGCACATGCTCACATACACACTTGCAGCTGCAGCACAGCAGGCTCCAAGGTCTCCAAGACAAAACACAACACTTACCACAGAAACCAGCAGGACCCGGTCACTCTACACGCTCTGGTACTGGTCCCAGTTCCTACTTCCTTTCACAATTAACCATATAATGTACTTTAATTAAAGAGAACATACAGAGAACAGACAGGTGAAGCTTTCTTTCTTCTTTAAAGATAATTCCAGTATGTTTAGACCGGCCCCAGTCGCTCAAAAGGTTTAACATGGATAAGAATTATCCACATTACAAATCAACTTTATTTGCTCATAGGATCAGATTTAGTTCATTTTCCTTTAAGGGAAAAACTGTATGACCCTCACCCAGATGCAGACTTTTGTACATGACCAAATCCGCATTACCAGTGCGTTAAATAAGACTTCATACTTTCCCACAGGAGGTGCCAAATTCCACACACTGTATACGATCTCCACGCCGCTTCAAATTAAATATTTTATGTTTTAAATTAACAGCTATATGGTCAGATACTATGAGACAAAATCCTTTTTTCACAACCCTAATGTCTACTTTAATCACCATGAAGCAATTTAAGTGCAAAAAAGAGTCTGCTTTATAAACATCATGGTCACCATGTTTTGTTTGTCCAATTTAAACTTGTATAACATTTTGTTACTGTAATCCAACCTGAATACAGTTAAGTTGCAGTCCTTCCAGCCTGTTTCAGGGCTGCAGGCTTAAAGGGATAGTTTGGTATTTTTGAAGTGGGGTTATATTAGGTATTTGTCAACGGTGCGTATATTAGCCACAGGAGATGCCTGTCAGCGTGGCCCCTTTAAGGAGAGTGTCTTTATTGTAACCCTCTCTGATGCTTTTGCATTCCCTTTCTTATCATTAAAGATTCATTTTTAAAAAATATTTTAAGTATCTGCAAACAAAACATGAACAATCAAAATTACTGCTATGATATTTTAGGAACTTACAGAACTCTCTTACTTTGCTGGTTAAAAAGCATTATGCAGAATAAACATTCATTGACTGGAGATTTAACTATAGCAAACCACTTCTATTACTTAACCCCGCCCCCCACACAAAAACCCATCTCTGTGTTGTCTGCGAGTGCTCCTCTTCCTTGTCTGCTCTCCTCTGTCAGGCTGAAGCCTGATGACAGGACAGGCCTCTGGTCAAACATACTGCAGACATGCTTGCTGCTAAAGTCCGTCAGTCAACAGTCTCCACCTACTTTGACCGCTGACCCCGTCCTCCTCCTCCTCCTCTCAGACTCAGGTCCTGTTTGTTGATGTGTATGCAGTGACACGGATCACTTCCTGTCAGAGATCACCTAGACTCAACACAGACAAGGAGCAGAGAGAGAGAGAGTGTGTGCAGATACACACACACACCACAACAACCTGCACTCTGTATGGTCTGATCTGAGCAAAGCAGTGTAAATTACTATGTTGACAAGTTGTTGTGCGCACATGTTTGACATGGAGGAAATGAGACCTATAGCACACTGACAAACTACACCCATTAACTGAGAGACAAAGAAAAAGGGAGACAGAGATAAAGAGACATATAAGGATTGAGACAGGGAAAGTGAGACACAGTGATGCTGAGAAACAGGGACAACGATACAGAGACACACAGACAGAGGGACACCCAGACAAAGTAACAGAGAAACTTGATATTGAGAGACAGACAAAAAAGACAATTGGAGACACAAATGGACACAGAGACAGAGAAAAAGAGACAGAAAAACGGACACAAAGAAAAAGAGACACAGAGACTAAGGAAGAAATGAGATACAGGTGATAAAAAAAATTAGTGACAGGGGATAGCTACACGGAGACACAGATTAAAGAGATACAGGGTTATTGACTAACAGACACGTACAGAGTCACAGAGACAGCCCAGAGAGGACATGGCTGTCTTTATGTAGACTTTTTTATGTGCTAAATAAAAAAAACTTGGTAAAATATAGAATACTTTTCAGTATAATCCAAGTATTGTATAACCAGCAATCATGCATGGCTATTCTGCAAATTATTTTGTTTTTTATTGAGGAAAACATATTGAATACGACACACTAGAATGACTCTCTATTGTCACCAAAAGTATGGCTTTAAGATATAAATGTCGTGGAAATACTAAAAAAAAGTATGTCTAAATAATCTTCTTTAGAATCTATTTAGAACTATCATCGCACACACACACACACACACACACACACACACACACACACACAAACACACACAGACTCTTAATGTAGCAGAATGAGCAGTAATACGAGTAGTTTCAATCAGACCATCTGAATGGTCATTCACTATCTTTATTCACCTCATGGGTTGTGTTCCTTTTTCATTATGAGGGTGTAACGGTTATAATAACTTTATAGTGTGGACTGGCAAAATACAGTCGGCGCACCGATCATGTCTTCAGCAGAGGGTGCTCATGTTACAATCAAAATATAAAAATGAAAAAAGTCTCAGTGGAAAAATGGTGAGAATACATTGTGCTCAATATTCACACAATTGAAGTGGGGCAGTAAGTGCAAAATATGGCAAATGGTGGCAAGTGGAATCAATAACATTGCTTCAGGGGAATGAAAAGGTAATCTATCTGGTGAAGAATTGACATCTTGTTTCATCAAGCTCTATTAGTGTGACACACGCAGTTGCTTTTTTGCACTCAGTGACTTTACATAGTGTTTATGGGTATTTCTGAATAAGTTCACTGCACTGTACAAATGTTGTTTATATCCACATGTGTAAATTGTGCATTCCTGATTTTTTGCATGTGTGGTGGAGTATGGTATAATTTGTATTTGTGCAATTTTAGTGGCAGTATCTCCCACTAAGCAGCTGTCAGAGGAGCACTGGTTATCGTCTCCCCCTGGGGTTCGTCCTGTCATCTCGTCCCACTGACGGCTAAGCCCCCCCTATGCCTGGCCTCCGTCATCCTGAGGCCTGCTAAAAGAGTGTGTGTAAGTGTTAATGTGTGTGTGTGTGTGTGTGTGTGTGTCTTACTCCTCCTGAGGCCTCAGCAAATCTGATAATTACTGACCTGACAATGAATGCCTCTGACCCCCGCACCCTACCAGTGACTCCCCCATGTTCAGACCTCCCCTATTGGCGGAAAACGGTCTCAGCAGGCTCATACCTTTAAACAGACATTGGTTGACACACATGAAAAGACATTTTAGATCCCTTCTTTACTTCTCCGTACATGAGATACATAAACACTCCACACACGAACAGTCCTCTCTGTTCCTCTGATGTTTTACACAAGAAACATGGACAGGAATGAAAACAACTGAACTTAAAAGAGGAGGAGGTGTGTGTCTGTGATTGAGAGTCAATGCAGGTGCTTTGCCCCGTGTGTGCCCTTGTCTCTCTCTCTCTCTCTCACACACACACACACACACACACACACACACACACACACACACACACACACACACACTAAACATGCTGTTTAGAGGCCTTGGTGCAGGATAACAGGTGTTGATTGAGAAAAAGCAGCCACTGTAACTTCTGTTTTTCCAGCTGGAGGAAATCAGATTATCCATAATTTTTCATTTATTGTTCTTATTTTTTTACGTGTGTGTGTGTCTTTTGGTTTTCATCTACAATTACATCCAGTGTAGAATTCATATCCACCGACTTATTTTTGATTAAACCACAGAATCATGTAAGTGTGTCTTTACCCTTTAACTTGTTGTGTTTCATGCACTGATTATAATTTGATGATTGTTGGATTTATTCATATAATACCATATGATGCCATACAATATATGAGGCGATACAATAGGATGCGATACAATACGATAAGATAAGATACTAAACAATACAATATGATAAGACAAATTTTATTGTCCTCTTGACAAAATTTGCCTTGCATCTAATGCTGCACGCATTTAGCTACTTCCACTGGAGCATCAATACTAAAACAATAAAAAAACAACCATCCACATGTACAGAGAAGACGATAACAATAAAACCACCAATATATTACACATTACCCATATTGTACACGATGCACAGATAACACAAAAACTCTAAAAAAAAAAACAGTGGATGTATAGCAGTCCGATTTCACCCACTTATTTGTTGACTGCTGTTTTAAAACTTGAACTTGGTATAATAGACATCATCATTCCCATTTTTGTTGCCACAACTGACCATAGTTAGAATGGAGGGTGGATCTGGGAAAGACCGATGGGGTCAGCAGACACCAAGTTATCAAAATCATATTTCAGTAACTGTCTAATACGCTAGTTAAATAAAGTGTTTGTGGTGGTAGTTCACTCTGGTTATCGAATTTATCAGATTAATCTATGAAAAGAGAGTTTGTGACAGCTGGTCATCTCATCACTGCAGGTGGGAAGCAAGGAATAATCCTGACTCCCACGCATGGGCTGACACAAATTATTGTATATATGAACTTGCTAACACTGAACAGGTCAAGCCAGGTTTGGTGAGCGACACAGTCTTATACCACTAGCATAGTTCTGTTTGTGAATAGCGCAGTTTAAGAGTTGGTTCAATGTCTTGCTTGCTGTTAACAATGCAAACGAAGTGACAGTGAAGGGTGTTAGCCCCTTGCAACAACCCCAGCCCTGAAGCAGACCAATTAGACTCCTGTGTGCTTTCTGACTATATCAAGACCCTGAACCAAGAAAAGACAACAATCAACACCTTCTAGTCAGTCTTTACATAGGCTAAATAAGATCTAACTTACTGGAAACACTGGTAGTTCACTAACAGACCTTCCAGCTATGTTGTTTTGCTATTTGCGTGTTTGTGTGTGTGTGTGTGTGTCACAATAAGTGCATGATGATGTTGATATAATGAAGCTGTCTGGAGTTGTGGGTTTTAGCTGACCTATAGCAGCACTGTAGACTCATTTTAAAGATACTTTCCAACATCATTCCAAGTCAGATTTATGTAGTCTGCCTCAGGTTCTGGTACTGCATCAAGTTCTGCTTCTCCGTCCCTCACTGAGCAGTAATACACCTTTCACTTTTTTCCTTTTCCATCCTAAAAAAATACCTGAAAGCCTCTGTCAGTCCTGTAGCCTGCAGTCAGCAGCAGAGCAGGAGCCGGGGCCACAGAACGTCCATCATGTCGACAAATTGACTCAATCAGCCTCACCCGGGAGCATTAGCCCCGTGCTCCTTTGAAATCCAACACTGTTGACGGTTCAGCAGAGTGTTTCTAGAGAGGGACAGGAAAAAGTGGAGGAGAGGAGGAGGCCTCATCATCTCTGGCAAAGATGGAGTGAGACGGAGAAGTAGCCAATGTTATGTGTGCTACCGAGTGTGTGTGTGTGTGTGTGTGTGTGTGTGTGTTGATGTGAAAACCATTGGAAGTTTGACATTTTTGAAAGGTGAAGCAAGTTTATGTCCTCATTTGGGATACAGCTGTTGGCATTTCACAGTAGGGTATGTGTTTTGTTCAAGGAAAATGGAGGTTTAGTGACTTTATGCTTCTTTGTGTGTGTGTTAGTGTGTCAAGTCACACTTCACTGACACAAAAACATGCTACTTTAGCTGCAGGAGGGCTGGAAGTGGAGGCTACACAGAAGTGAAGCTGAGGCTATTTATCACACACCTCAGATCAAAAACAGAGAACAGAGGGAAAGAAATAGAGAGAGAGAAAAAGGAGTAGAAGAGGAACACACACCTGGATGTTTGGACACAATTTCTCAACAGTATAGAGGATTCAAAGGAGAAGCAATAACTGCCATTGCACCACACATTGCCACCTGTGGGATTCCTTTTTTTTTTCTTTATCTTAAAAAAATGAAATACAGTCAAAATGATGGTGGTAAGCGCCTTTAAAATGCTTCTCTTAATTCATTTAGAAATAATTTGAGGTAGCCAGTGATACCACCCATTGATTGTTGATGACCACTTTTGGTTGTAGTCGTCTTGTTTTTTTGGAACAATATGTTGCCACATTTGGAACTGTGTTTACTGCTAACCCTTGAGGTAGCCAAGTCAGCAAAGTTAATCTGTAGGCCTATTCACAGTGACAAGGAGGCTTATTTAGGCAGCAAAGAACAGACTTAAAAACAAGAGCTTACTTTCTCGTAGCAGTTTACTATACAATCAGTTATTTACTCATGACATGTTAAGTGAAATTGCTGAAACCTTTAAACCTGACAAACACACACACTGGCTAACAAATGAACACATTGTACGTCACATCAACTAACAAGGTTTATCATATTTTTGCAGATGTTTGATTTGGTTCCATTTTTGTAAACAAATGTGTTACTTTGGGTCAAAGTTTGAGAACTGTAGAAAAAAAACATTTTGTGAGTTATAGGTGCTGAAGCAACAAGTGTTACAACAATACAATACCCGGTCTCCCTTAATGCACTAATGTGTTTTTGCAAATGCACTTTTCAAAGAATATTCAACACAGAATTATATTACACTGTGTTTTCATTATTTTACTCAATATAATTAAGTTAAATTGCATATTTTTCTCCACTGGTGATGAGACAGACAAGTGATGATGGGGATAGAAATGAGAAAACTAATGGAGAGCTTACAAAACTTAGCTTTAAAGGGATGCAATCCCAAAATTTAGAGATACAGCCCTGACAAGTTCACCTCATTAAGTTTAACAAAGGTTTTCACCTTTCACCGGGAAACCTATTCCTTTCTGAAAGTCATGCTGATAAAGCACGTTTAGACAGTAGTCATTCTGACGCTGCACATTCATTTTGCAAGCGGACACTGCCGCCTTGTGGTCAATCACAGACTCTGCCGCCAGAGGTTAACCACTGTCAGATATTCATCAAGAGCCCACTCTGATGATTGTTGAGAACACACTCATCTTATCTGGACCACTCACTGCTTATAAGCCAGAGTTTATAGAAAGTAGTTAAGAACAGGTAAAAGACTAACAGGGTTTTGAAGGTATTATTTCATGCAATAATAACCCTGACAGTTTCTACACACATACAATTGTTAGTTTTTTTTCGTACTTGTAGATAGTTTGTTTTGTAAACAAATGTATTAAAAGATAATGCAGCAATGAACTTATTCTTAATTAAATACACAAACCTGCATTATTACACACATTACAGATAGTCCCATACTTGTAAATAACTATGCTTATGTACACAAACAGTAGTCTAAGGTAAAGTATGGGTACTTCAGTTCTTAACTTTTGCAAATTAGAGCAATAGATACAACTCTTTGCTAGATATAGGCCTGGCTGACTGTATAACTTTGCACTTTTGTCTTTGTAATTCAGAGTGAGAGTATGGCCCTCTTTTTAGTGTAGATTTAAGTAATTGTGATATAAAAATGAAAAAGAAAATAATTAAATTGATCACTCAAGGTTAGCTAAAAAGAAAGTACAATTTTGAAAAATATCTATGAAATATGAATACTTAAAAGCATCAAACTTATAAGCAATATAATTGGTTTTCCATTACTATGCTCTCATTGGCTACGTCAGTTTTACGTGCCCTCCAATTGGCTGCCGGCCTGACGCCTGTCACAGTCCGTCCTGAACCAGCGGGGTGAAGGTGAACACAGTCCGTCTCTTGCTCTCCGCCCGCTGCTTGGAAGCACTTTCTCCCCCATCTCCTCCTCCTGCACCGGGATCATCTTCGGTGTACAGAGCCATGTCCATTTTCAGCGAAGTCCCGGCGGCTCCTCCAGTAGCTGTCTTCAAACTGAGCGCTGATTTTAGGGAGGACGACCACCCGCAGAAGGTGAATCTGGGAGTCGGAGGTAAGATATCCACATGCTAAAGCTAGCTTGCTGATAAGTGAGTCAGCCCAGTAAACGCAGCTGTCCCCGGCTGTGCTCGCTAGCATTGGTTAGCTTGTTTACCTTTAGGGTGACCCTTGGACGCGGTGCTGTGACATCATGTTATTGAATATTTGAAACTCTTTGATTTGACCTTCGCGACAAGCTAGCAGTGAAGCTAACGCACCAATGAGCTACCACTCCACCTGACAGATAGCTAACAACACTCTCATGTCACACTGTTAGCTCACAATAAATACTAACACCACTACATCTTTTCTACTGAAAGAAACTAAGCTTTAGAGAAGCAAAAGCTCGTCTTATGACTTCTACTGGAGCCTGGCTGACTGTGACACAATGTCAAATATACTGAATGCGTTACCGTGTTACCCACGTCCTTGAACGCATCATTCACACAATCAATTAACCTCGCTGTTTAATAGATGCTGTGAATCGTCTTTAACAAGGACCTACAGGGACATACTTGTTTGGCATCCTTCAAAGCTGAGAGCTGTGTCCTGCAAGTTATTCTGTCCTGTCAGATACTTGTAAACTTGTTGTTTTATGTGTAAGGTGTCCAAGATCATGTCTACTTCATTTATCCTTTTCAAAAACCTTATTTTGTAATTGTGAGACTACACAACAGCTCAGGGCAGTACTCTGTATCAATAACATCTAGCTACCTTCTATGGAGTACTCTAATTTATTCAATCAGACCTGCGGGTAAGAACCGTATAGCTGTAAATATGAAAGATTGGCTTATTTAATATTTTGTTGCTTATTGGAAATTGGTTCTTTTTTCTCAGGTGGCCAAACTGCCCATCACAGGTTTAATACAGTATACCAGTACGTTATATTTAACTGTACCTTAGCTGTGCTCCTCCAAGTTGCCAAAACTGGTATCAAAGCACCAAACCAGTTTGGTCAGGAACTGACAAACACATGAGAAAACTATACCAGACACTACATTGAAGAAATCAAACCAATAGGCATGGCCTAAACAGGCCTGTGTTTTTTTTTCTCCATCGGGACGTAGTAGTGAGTTGCAGATTATCTCATTATTTATGTTCAACTGAAAAGAAATCAATGGATCTATATGTTAAGAAGGGTTCAAAGTTGAGGTACTATCACCATGGGGGCATCGGGTCAGGATGCAGGAATCCAACAAGACTTGAGTTTAGGTAACAAGTTTATGTCTTCAAATTAGGTAAATCATGAGGGTAACAGAAGACACACATGGGATTGAACATCCATGCTGAAAGACAAATAAAATAATACTAGCACAATAAACAAGTCAAATTAGATTACTTTCTGAAGGAAGTAAAGATAAATAAAAAATTGTCCATCAAAGGCCACCTGATCCACATTTCACACCCACCACTGTGGCCAAAAACACTCTGCAGATTTGGCCCTGAACCTTGTCTGTATTCTTATGTTGTTCTTGCTGTTTCCTTTAACCTGGCTGCACACTTAGTTATTCTGACAGCCATGTATCTTGATGTATCTTTTAAGGGATCCACTGTTCCAGCCAACACACTCCTTGTTTGACCTTTTAACTGTGATCCTCTGATCCTCAGTGTCCATCTACAGTGTGGTGAAAGTCAGATATTTGATACAGCTCTGCAGCTCTGCACATGCCTGCTTACAGTAGCACAAGTTCTTGAGGAGTCAAATATGTGACACACACACACACACACACACACACACACACACACACACACACACACACACACACACACACACACACACACACACACACACACACACACAGTTTAGCCTGGACATAAAGTTTGACCTTCAGACAGTGTGTAACATCAAATTAAATCAAATAGTTGTGTTTCTCTCCCCCTCACTGTTCACCTAAAGTCATTCCCTGTCTCTCATTGTATTTGCCATTTCACGCTGCAAGTTTATTGTTACATTGTAATTGCAACATTTTGCCAATGCAATTTAACCAGAAATTGCTTATTAGGTTTTGGATGTCCACAAAAAAAAAAAAATAGTTTGAAGCTCTACTGAAAACTGAATAGTAACTTACTTCCAAGTTGTCCAAACATTTTCAATACTGATAAATGATACTTTTCTACAGCGTGTCTTTCAAAACAATGAAATCTCTGGTTTTATAATGGTCAGTAATATCAGAGTGCCAAAGGCCATTCAGTTAGACAGAAAGCAGAGGAGGTGACTATATCTAAATTGAGCAAATACGTTCACATTTTTTAAATGATGACAGCTTGTAGGAGTTTGCTTGCATTTTTAGTCATTTATAACATGAAATTACTCATTATTGGGTTACTATGACTTCTGTTTTTGTTGCTGCGGTATCGAAACTGGTTTTGATGTGGATTGATTTCACAAGTTTTGATCTGAATATATAATTCTGGTAAAATCCCTGTCAGCAGTGTTTGAGCTTGAACTCAAAGGTTTGTTGAACTTTTTTCATTGCTTTGTGTCCCCTCC